ACGAGCTAGGTATTTACAATCAAACGAGCTTTGCAGATAGCCCAGGGTTTCTTGGCGGAGCTGCGAAGAGGTAGGATAGTTGTGAACACATAATATGTGTTATATGGTGAAAATTCGATTTCTACCTACTTATCATCGTAAAACCTCAACTACCATGTTCTAGAGTAGTAAATGAAGGTTATGCGATAGACTTTCATTTATCAGTGCAACAATGTCCTCATGACTGGAGTTTAAAGGGGTACAATAGTGCTGAAACTTTTTCGTTTGCTTGTAGGGTAAAAAGCTTTTGCAAATTAGATTTCTCAACGCTTACCTAAATTCTTCCTAGCTCATACTTTTGCAAGCCTCAACTTTACTAGGGTTCTATATTCGATCATGCAATCCCCTTCCCTATTTCAATACAGCTGAGTTGTCAGTGGATACTTTTTCTTGATGTTGACTTTATGCCAGTAAGTCCGGTTTTAATTGGCTTAGAGCCTGCTGAAACAAAAGTCCGGGGGTGCGTAGGTCCAGCTATGTAGGTACCTAGGTAGGCTTGAACCTTGCCAGAAGTCTGTTTTTCTGCCCCACTAAATTTATGGTTAGGGCTGCCACGCTTGCACAGTGCACACTACAAACAAGGCGGATACCGGTTGCCCTGGTGAATTTTTAGAGCCAAAAATCAACATGGGTTCAACACATATGTATTACCTCTTAGCCGCCTGCAACAATTTCCATCCACATTTTAGCTCCTGATGACGATATTTTTCGCGTGGACCTCCCACAACGCAACCTCTTACTACTAACTAATCTAGCTCGACGACACCCATTAAGCAGGTGTATATACGCTCGTTAATCGATTTGAAATCTCGAAATCGCGACGAGCACTAATTTCTTTCCCACGGCAACGACATATGCTGCCTGTTTATTGACGTTGTTTATGTCGACACTTCTAGCTTAATTTTCAGACGACTTTACAAGGGAGGATAATTGAGACGGACAAAAAAATAAAACTATCCAAAATGGCTGTGATAGACCCAGGAGCATCATCTATCACGGTCGCAGGTAAGATAGACTCGCCGTATAAAATAGTAAATTAGATGATGCTGACGTGTTAAAAGTTCGAGTCCGACCGTTTACCATCAGAGAAGCTGCACAACTGTATGCCAATCCCGGTTCCATATCACCGAGATAGACATGCTAACCTAGTAGTATAGACAAAAGAATGATGATGGCACATTATTTCTAGGGGATGGTTCTCTGGCTGCGGTCCCCACACCGAAACTCAAGCAAGGTGGCATACGATCCGTTATTAAAGTAGTCGATGACAGATGCTTGTAAGTATTCACACAAAAGATACCACATTATAGTAACTGACTTGCACATATTGTAGAGTGTTTGACCCGCCAGAGGACAACCCAATACAAAAATTCTCGAGATCCGTGGTACCCAATGGCAAGAAAGTCAAAGATCAAGTCTTCGCTTTCGACCGTATATTCGACGAGAACACAACACAAACAGAAGTATACGAGGCTACGACAAAAAACTTACTAGACAGCGTTCTAGATGGCTACAATGCCACTGTATTTGCATATGGAGCTACAGGATGCGGAAAAACGCACACAATCACTGGCACAGCCCAGATGCCCGGCATCATATTCTTGACAATGCAGGAACTCTTCGAAAAGATTGCCGACCGTAGCGACGAAAAGCACACCGACATATCCTTGTCGTATTTAGAGATCTACAACGAAACCATTCGAGACCTGCTAGTCCCCGGAGGTAGCAAGCAAGGACTGATGCTCCGCGAGGACTCCAACCAAGCCGTAACAGTTTCAGGACTGACAAGCCATCACCCCAAGGATGTTCAAGAGGTTATGGACATGATCGTTCAAGGAAACGAATATCGGACGGTATCACCAACCGAGGCGAACGCCACTTCTTCACGATCCCACGCAGTCCTGCAGATCAACGTTGCCCAGAAAGACCGCAACGCTGCCGTCAACGAACCTCATACGATGGCTACTCTGAGTATCATCGACCTCGCAGGTAGCGAGCGAGCCAGCGCCACCAAGAATCGAGGCGAGCGCCTGTTGGAGGGTGCTAATATTAACAAGTCTTTGCTCGCACTGGGCAGCTGTATTAATGCACTCTGCGATCCCCGAAAGAAGAACCACGTCCCTTACAGGAACAGCAAGCTGACACGACTTCTCAAATTCTCGTTGGGCGGCAACTGCAAAACGGTCATGATCGTTTGTGTGAGTCCGTCGAGTGTACACTTCGACGAAACCCAGAATACGCTACGGTATGCCAACAGGGCAAAGAATATCCAAACCAAGGTGACACGAAACGTCTTCAATGTCAACCGACACGTCAAGGACTTCCTTGTGAAGATCGACGAGCAGATGGCGTTGATCAACGAACTCAAAGCCCAGCAAAAAGATGCCGAGAAAACATTCTTTGCTAAGTTCCAGAAACAACTAGAGAAGAGGAATTGGTCGGTCAAGGAAGGAGTTCAGAGGATCCAGGCGGCATACGAGAACTCGTCGGCTGAAAGGCAGGAGAAGGTGAACCTAATGAAGAAGCAGAGAGGAGTCGAGCGTCGCATCGGTCTTTTGTCGTCGTGGATCGCCGCATTCGACGCGGTTTGCGATATGAGAGAGGACGAGGATACAATGCCGTCAAACCTTACCGCTATGCGCAAAACGGCGGTGGGAATTCAGCTGGAACTCGAGGATAGCCGGCAACATATTCACCAGAAGTTGAACAGGATGAATTGGGAGCGCGCTATCGACGGAGCTCTCCAGCATAGTATCAACCAGCTACCAAAGGGAGACGTACATGTGGATAACGGCGAGATCGAAAGCCTCACTAGAGAAGCCGAACTATGGAAAGCCAAATTTGCGCGCGAAGCCGACCGCGAGGTTCTCGATCAGGATAAAGCCGGCGACTCGGGGATTATGCAAGTCCTTCTTACCGCGCAGTTTGAAATCCTCGCCTCGCTATCAGAGACGGTAGATATGAGCGAGGATGAGGCTGTTGCACATGCTAAAAGTATCATCAACCGTTTACTAGAGACAGGATTCGCGGCCGCCTCCCAAGTAGTTAAGCCGGACGGGGCCAAGATGCCGGTAGAGGCATTTCCGCCAACGAAGCGCGGGACTCCGAAGCGGAAGAAGACGACGAGGATAAGCATGGGAAAAGACGCGATAAAGCCAATCCCTAACCCAGCATTAGCAGCTGTCGTAGCCTCCCAGCCACAAATGTTCGGTTCTCCGGTCAAGGGTTCCCCCCGACGTCGTAAAGCGCTTAACGCGCGTAAAGGCGTCTCGTTTACTCCGGTTAAGAAGACCTCGAAGCGTGCGGTACGATGGCGTGACGACGATGGCGAATCGGGCACCCTAGCCGACTTCGAGAAAACACCCCAGAAGTTCTACTCTTCGCCGGAGCGTAGCTCACCCGAGAAGGCTGTACCTGCGATCCCCCCTATCCCGTTTTACTTACACAAAGATGACACTGCAGATGATTCCAGTACCGAGCTGACGATCCCCGAGACGACAAGCCTTCCGGTTGCGAAGCCTAATAGGTTCCAGGCAGGATTTTTGTCGAAATCTCGTACGTCGGAAGTTAACGGCTCGCCCACCGGACCTACGATCTCTATAAACCTGACGTCCTCACCCGGCAGCGCGGGCCGGATTAGCCCATTGCGTAACCTTGACGTGTCGCGAGCTGGTAATATCAACTCCCCCAAGATACGGTTATCGTCAAGTCCAAAATCATCCATACCAGTGCCTCAAAGTATGTCGTCAGACGAAAATCACCCTCCATCATCCGACTCGGAGACTTCGGCCATCATTGACACGTCTAAGCTTCGCTCGGCAATCCACGCCAACAAGAGACCAAGGCGGCTCTCTTCGCTAGCAGGAAGCGTGACGGGTCCGGCTGTGGTCTCTAGGCGAGTGTCCTCGATCGGATCTATCGGCGGCAACTACCATAAGACCAGCAACAGTTACGCAGGCCCCCCCTTAGCGTCGAGCACGAACGGTATCTCGCGGTTACGACGCGGTAGCGCGGAAAGATATAGGAGCCCTCCCATCAGCTGTTCACCGCCGGACATGGGAACCCGCGAGTCGAAAGCGTTCACGCCGGGCCAGGCCAGACGGATGAATATAAGCAACAGCGTAAGGGGTACGAGCGCACTGACCAGCCCGAGCGACAGGAGGTTGGAGGCTGCCAGCAACCGCGGGCGACGCATTACTATTGGTGGCGCGGGCATGGCGGCTGTAGGCGGTGCGAGGAGGGAGAGGGGAACTCTGTCTTGGCGATAAGTTGATTGTTCTATCCGTGAAGGTATTTGATTAAATAAGATTAGGCGTCGGGACGCCTCGGGCGTACAGTTGCAGATGACCTTGCTGAGCACAGATTGCACATATGCGTCTTTGCCCGTCTCATGGAAGGTTTAGGTCGAGACTGGCGTTTTTAGGTCCAATTCTCATACAAACATGATTATTCGGTCGGTTGGGTGGCAGCGGGGTTTGGGAGTCGCTTGGTCCCTTGTATCTGATAGTTTTCATTTCGATAAGGGTCCGAGGTTTCATGTCTCACGTTCAATAAGTAATGAATTCTGGTTATGCTCGTGTTTAATTAGATGTCGCGGAATGAGGTTGATGAGTGTATGTTTACTTGATCGGTGGAAGGGAAAAGGAGATGAGGTTCAAGACTCGATGCAGATGTTGTTCGTCTAATGTTAGATCCTGCTTTAGGTACCTAAATGATTCATGCGACGTCTAATATATATCGTCTCCATATTCATTTCTCGAGTGCGAATTAGCATTGTTGAATTGTTCTAATCTCCTACAAAGTACAGGTCGTGACGTCGTAGGGCTGAAGCAGCCATTTAGCGCTCAATCTAGCGATTGCTAAGTTCATGCTAGGGCCTATAATGTCTCATAATGTTGTAATCCCTTCTCATAGATAATTTGGTTAGAAATGACATAAATACCTAAATAAGTCACAAGACGCTATCTACTATCCCCCTGGAATCGAAGTGTTTCATATTAGTCTTCTGCGTTTGATACTCAACCATACCTAATTTTCCATCAACCTTAACCCACTAATACTATGAAAATAGAAATAACAGCTTAGTATAATTTCTACCATTCATTATAGATTTATCATTATAGATTTAGGGAACACGAAAGGATGGCGGGTCCTGTACACGTCCTCGACGACTACTACCTCTCCATCACGCTCCTCGTCACCGTCGCGTATCAGCTGTTCTTCTTCGCGTTAGCATACAGCTCCAAGTTTGATAAACTTACAGGTTCTGCCCCTATTTTCTTTCTTTCCCAATCGAGTTCTAATTAAAGATCATCTTCTCATAATATTATAGACTTCGCCGGAGGTACCAACTTCGTGGTCCTAGCCGTGCTCACGTTAGCCCTGAGCCGCAATCCCGATGCACGACAGATCGTGGCCTCGGTATTTATCATGGTGTGGGGATTGCGGCTCTCGCTCTTCTTGCTGTACCGCGTACTACGGACGGGCAAAGATGATCGCTTCGATGGCACGCGCGATCGGTTCTTTCCGTTCCTTGGCTTTTGGGTCTTCCAGATGCTTTGGGTGTGGGCCGTCTCGCTGCCCGTCACTATCCTAAACTCCCCCGCCGTCCGCAGCTACCAGCCGCAGGTTTCCTTCGGCACGGGTCGGGATATAGCAGGCACGGTTTTATTTTGCATCGGCTTCGCTATGGAGAGCGTAAGCGATGTGCAGAAGTTTGTGTTTCGGTCAAGGGATGATCGGGGCGCAATTTGCGACTCGGGATTCTTCTACTGGAGTCGTCATCCGAATTACTTTGGGGAAATCATTATTCAGTTCTGTAAGTTTTCGCTTGGATATTAACTAGTGAGGATTTAAACTGACGGTAAAAGCTATATATATGATATGCGTCTCGCCCGCTGCCGATGGCCCCGTCGCCGGACAAGCATTCAATGCGCTTTACGCCACAATCTTGGGTCCCTTCTTCCTCACCATCCTGCTCATGTTCGTCTCGGGGCTGCCGCTGTCCGAGCGCCCGGCCGCTAAGAAGCGGTACGAGAAGGGTTTGAATTGGGAAGGCTATCGGCGGTATTTAAACCGTACTAGCATCCTTATCCCGTTTCCGCCACAGATCTATGAACGGCTCCCTACTATCGTAAAGAGGACGGTGTTCCTTGAGTTTCCTATGTACGTATTCGATCCGGCCAAACACTCGGAGATCACCGAAAATAGGCAAATCAGCGGATGAAGAGTGGTATGAGAACCCCCTCCTGACCTCCGCCGGATTGAATAGCCCTTAAAAGATAGAACTTGAGTGAAACGAGGGTATCTTTTACATGGATAACTTTGCCGGTTCAAATTTACCATCACTACGCCACCAGCTACCATCGGCCAACCACCAGGCACGAGCGTCAACGCCGCTCATCAAAACTTTCAACATCATCTATGATCCACTCAATTCGCAGGCGCCCTTCACAGGCCCCATATGAGCAGCTTTCCCTGCTCTATCAGCCGCCGTTGGGGCCGCCCCGCTATTCACGAGTATGCCCGCCGGGTCGAGAGGTTGGTCAAGAGATTCCCGAGAGGCGCAGTAGTCGGACTCCGTGGGCTCTTCCGAGTATGTTTCGGAGCCCTCGGGTATGGGTATCATGGCTGATTTGGTCCATATGTGGATAGCTCTTGACCAGTCGAGCCCGTCTATACACTTTAGGAGCATGAGAAGTTAGTGATTATTCCTGTTAGAGTCAAATAAGATACCTAGTCACGGGTTGGGGATATATTGGTGCCTATATGTTTGATGTACCGAATAAGATAAAGATTAAGAAGATATTGAAGATATACTTACTCCTCCTTTGACGGAGACAACATTCTTGCCCTGCATATTATTAGCGTATATGTTACATGTGTTACCGATGGCATGCACCTACCGGTGTCGTGTGAAGCAGTCTAGTCCCGCAGTTGCGGCAAAAATAGCTAATGGGAATAAGTCAATCAATCTATCATCGAGGGGGAGGTATAGTCATTACCAATAAAGCGTATGACCAGAAGGTGTCGGCCGGCTATATCATCACCAGCGAGTCAGTGAGTCATACTTCAAACCATCTATAACCATATATATCATAACATAGATACTGAGAAAAAAACAAATAGATAATATACTCACGTATAGCAAGACATCAGCTCAGCGCGAGGTAGAGGAAAACGGGGGAATATGGCGGAGGTGCCAAAGGCAGAGCTCGTCTGTCGGCGACATTCGGCACAGTGGCAAATGTAGAGAGCCAGGGGCTTGGGCAGGGGCGTTTTAAACGCGACGGCACCGCATTGACAGCGGGCATCCATGGCTTATTTCCTTTTCGTCTGATATGTTTAACTAGAAGACGTTCCTTTTCTGATGTTTCTTCGCTTTTTCGCTATGCCGTTAGCTATATTAGATACTAAGTGTAGACACTCGGTATTCCCAATAACGCGAGGCTCTGTGCGCCTCTACGTACCTAACCTAAAGTATGCAACTCAAGTACTTGCCACAGCCCTTTGAGGTCCTTTGAGGTTTATTGTGTCGGAAGTACAAATAGGTAGCTAAGTCAATATAGCAAGAAGAAGTTGAGTCAACGGCGGACGATAATTCCGGAGGGAAAGAAGGACGCGGAGCTTAAGGCTTAGCTGGGGAAGGTCGGTCCCGAAAGTTAATTTTAGCGGATCCCGATCCCCGCATATCTTTGTGTCTCCCGAATTAGTCATCAGCTTTAAATAGAAACGTATAACTATAGATTTCTGAGAAATACGACAGTAGGATAAGTAATACAATTTCACACAGTTCTAGTCAAAACTCATATAGCTAGCGAAAGCACGCCGATGACATCACGATATCCCCTGCAAGCTTGACTCATCGTATCATCCACCCACTCCCAAACGCGATATCACATGTCCGGGCGTTCCCAACTTGTCAGCTTACTATTAGATGAAGGGTATCTGATATACGAATATCATCCTCTTAAATCATCAATCCTCTTTTCTATCTGGTGCCGAACGCTTCCACGGTATTATTCTATTATTCCGAGTTTAGAGTACGCATGATCACGAACATGCAAGACAATCAATCCAAGTCAATCCATGCTGCAACTCCCTCCTTATCTGCGATATCAGGGTTAGCCCCATTACCCAAAAGAATCCTTGCTAATATCTCGTTCGATTTGGTGAAAGCGATGTGTAGTGGCGTTCTGCCATCGCCATCTTGAATATTTGGGTCCGCCCCATTTCTTAAAAGCAGCTCGGCCTGTGCTTTATACCCCGCGTACCCTACGAGGAAGCACATTTGCGGCTTCGTGGAGAGGTGTCTCCCCTGCTGCATCCTGGATGTTAGGGTCTGCTCCATTCTCCAACAACTCTTGGGCTAATTCAACCGATATCTCAAGATGCTGCTTTATTGCACAGTGCAGTGCTGTTCTTCCATGATTGTCTCGAGAATTGGGATCTGTTTTGTTCTTTAGCAACAATCGACTCGTGCCTCCCCTCGATTGCCGCATGTAGAGGGGCCACGGCCGATTTTTTTAGGGCGTTGACCTTGGCTCCTCGTGCCAACAATTCTTCAACTATTAGTGCATGCCCTTTATATGCGGCCATGTGAAGAGCTGTGCGTCCATCATGCCCAGTTAGGTTTAAATCCGCACCATATCCGAGAAGCAACAAGACAACGTCCCTGTGGCCTCTGGTTGCCGCCTCTATTAACGGTGTTTGGACCTCTCGATGTGAGAGACTTCGTATTTAATAATAGGTCATATTTTGATCTTTTTTCTAATAATTGGCTAACCACTCTTATATGCCCATATCTTGACGCTATTGCGATGCCCATAGGCAACCATTTATCTTCAATAATTACTTCTTCCATAACTTCCCAGAAGTTGAAGAGGCAAGCCATGCTGAAGGGACTTATCGGTGGGTACTCCGCTTTTTGAATATTCATTTCGAAGTCTGCTTCTATCAAGGGATACCAATGGGAAGGTTTGCGTGGCATGACCGATGATCGGGAAATTTCTCGTACCCAATCTTGGAATGTAGTAGTTACGAGACCCTTCCCAATAAAAGAGGAAAACAGCTCCTTGAGAGGGCTCTTGTTACTCCTTACTGAACCGCATTTCTGGCAATGGAAAGCCCAATGAATCATCGCGTAATACGCCAGTGCGTCCCAACACGACTTGATTTGGCCGCTCCTCAGCATCCGTCTGACATGGTCCTGGAAGAGAACATGAAAACAGGTCTCGGCTAATAATGCGTGCGCGTCGAATGGATTATAATCGATCGGCTGAACTTTCCTGATGAACTCGAGAACCGAAAAATGTCTAAAGTCGAAATGATCATTTTCCCTGTTGAAAACTACCAGGTGATGGCAGACCTGTAAAATATCCTCTCCACCTAGTGGTAGTTTCCACCAAGGAAGGGAATACTAACATTCCGTGTGCTCGTCCCGCAAGCGTCGTTTTGATCCTATCCTTGACGTATTGGTCTCTATCTCTAAGCCGGGTTTCTACCTCAGTACCGATATAGAAAGTAATATCGCTCTTCGTCTTTATAGGGGCGACTTCTATCTTAGGCCAATGACCGAGAGCATTGCTAATTCGGGTTTCTGGCCGGCTTGATAAAATTACCTTTAACAAGCATGTGGGTGTTTTCATTTGCATAAGGCCATCCAACACCTCAAAGAAAATAGCTAAGTCGTCATGGCTAATCTCATCGAGTGCATCGATAATTATGGTTGTTTGGGATCTGCCATTCAAGTTAACGAGTTTCTTTATCATCTCTTTAGACTGATCTAATGCGAGCAACTCTTCGCCATATGACTTTGCTTCCCATTTTTTTGTTACCATATCTAGTCTTATCTCAATGAACTCAGACCAGTAACGCAAACTTCGTTATACCCCTCCCGCCACACCTTTTTTTTAACCAATCACATCCCCAACCTACCCCCCCCACGAATTTCGCATCTCTAATCTAAGACAACTCAGGCGATTTTTACCACATCAAATCATTCAACATTAAAAACAATATTAAAAATAATAACATCAACGCGTTTAAAATAAGTCTCAATTAATCTAAAACATTTACTAACTTTATTATTAATAAATACACGCGTTTGCCCAACTTTTTAAGCGTTTAAATACACGCGTTTTAAACGTTTCGAACGTTCCGGGGTGGTTGCAACACCAGTCGCAACGTTTTTGGGAATATACCACGTTAAAACTTATAACATTACAACGTAATACTATACAAACATATAAAATAGTTAAAAGGTTTAAACAATTAAATTAAAAATTTTAAATTATAAAAATAAAAAATATTTTAAACGTGGTTATAAATATAAACGCGTAAATATAAATATTAATATAACATTTTTAATATTATTACGTATTTTTAAACGTTAAAACTTATAATATTATAACGTAATATTATATAAATATATAAAAAATATAAAAAAGTAAAAAAAACATAATATTAACTTTAAATCATAAAAATAAAAGTTATTTTATATATTATTATTAAATATTAAATTATTATAAATATAAAATTTAATTTTTAAAAAAACTTATTTTAACATGGTTAAAAACGCTTAAATTATTTTAAATTAAAATTTATTAAAACTTACACTTATAACCCATAAATACAATTATACAGGCCAGGCGTTTTATAGCGTTTATGGCGTAATCGGGCATAAGCCCGATTTTTAACGAATTTAATTTAAACTATTAAAATAAATTTAATTTTTATTTATTATTTACAAGTTATTTAATAACTGTTTAATAATATTTTAAAAAATAAAATCAATGCTCGTGTAATAAAAGCTGTAAAAGGCTTAAAATATAATTAAGATTATTAATAATTTTTTAAAATTTTAAAGTTTTTAATTTTTTTTTTTTTTTAAAAAAAAATCTCGACTTATTTATAAACAATTTAAAATATATATCTTTTGGTTTAACCAAATCTTTATTAATATATTAACTTTATTTATATATAATTATATAATTTTATAATATTTTTTATTTAATAAATTTTAAAATAATTATTTTATATTTTTTATTAATTGTTTTTTTTAATTAATAATCTTTTAACATTATTATTTATATAATATTATTTTTTTTTAAAAAATTTATTTTTAAGTTAAAATTTTAAATAAAAAGTATAATTTTTTTTAATAAAATTTAAAAATTTATTAATTTCTTTAAATTTTATTAATAAAATATTAAAATTATTTGTTTAATATTTTTATTATTAAAATAATTAAAAAATTTTTAAATTTAATACTTTTTAATTAATTAACTTTTCCATTTAATTAAATATTTTACATTTTTTTAAACTTATATAAAATCTTTAATTTTATTTACATAATATTTTTTAAATTTTATTAAAATTATTTTTTATAAAATTTAATTAAAATTAAATAATATTTAATTGTTAATATAATAAAATTTAATAAATAAAATATAAAATAAATTATAAATTTTTTACTTTTTAAATAAATAAAATTTAATAATAATAAAAAAAATTACTTTTTAAATTTTAAAAAAACTTAATATTTTTTTATTTAACTTTTTAACAAATTATTTTATTTTAATATTTTTATTATTTAATATAATTAATTAATTTTTTTTAAATTTTAATATTTTTTTCTTTTTTTTATTAATTTAATCTTTTATACGTTAATAATTTTTTTTTTAAATATTATTATATTTCGATATAAATTTATTTTATTTAATATATATATAATTAATTATTTAAATTTTAAAAAATGTTAATAAATAAATTATAAATTATAAAATAAAAATTATAATTTATATAAAATAATATTATATATAATAATATTAATTTTAAATTATTATATATAAATTTT